GGGAGAAGTTATTTTTAGTCGGGCTAAAAAGGATCTGTCGACAATTGGTGGTGCTGGTGGTGGAAGGATGCGTCTTGATTAAATAAGTTGAAGGACGTTGGCCAGTTGCATTTTAGGTGAGGGTATTTGTAATAGAGTAAAACAGTGTTTTTCAAACGTGGCAACTTTAAGATGTGTGGACTTCAATTCCCAGAATGCTGGCTGGGGAATTCTGGGAGTTGAAGTCCACACATCTTAAAGTTGCCACGTTTGAAGAACACTGGAGTAAAAGGATGGCCGGTGTTCACTTGAAACAGACAAAACTCTGCAAAAGCAGCTGAATAGAAACAGTGGCGAGCATGGACTGGCCTTCCATTAAATGAACCAAAACGTGGGATATCAAAAATGGAGGTGGTACTGAAAATGGATAGGGACCAGCTTGAATAAAACACTCAGCCTTAATGTAAATAAATATAGGGTGGGTCCAAGCAAATGCAGTGTGCGTAGCTGTTGGGCACAGGGTCATCTTGAAAATTGAGTGGCTTTGGGGACTGTAGCTTTCCCCAAACTAGTATCATGCAGATGTGCTGCCTCTGGCCACACCAACTGGCCCCAGGGAGAATTGGAGTCCAACACATTTACAGGGCACTCTGTTGGCAAGGGCTGCTCTGATTATTGATTTTCTACACTCTAATACAGTGTTTCTGGGGGATTGGCTGGGGAATTCTGGGATTTGAAATCCAGACATCTTGAAGTTGCCAAGGTTGAGAAACACTGCCCTAGAACCAACTCATCTGGATGTTGTAGTCAGCCCGAGAAGGGTTAGGAACACATGAATGGGTCAAATTCAAATTTATGGTCAAATCCATTTGTTTGGGGCGTGCTGGTGAATGAGGATGTTATCGCCCTGGACCCTGTGCATGAGTGTTTCACTGGCTGCTCCCCACTTTCCAACTACTTTGCAAATAGTTACACCCCTTGGCAGCTGAAACTGGATGAAGGTCTGTTTTGAAAATCGTTTCAGAAACATGTTTCCGTTTCCAGTAAGTGATACTGAAAGCAAAGTGTTAATAATGTTAGCTATTCCATACCATTTCAAGAAAAGGGGGGGGGCATGGGAATTTGCATTGTTTTTCCTGCTACTTCCTGATAAAGTATTAGAAAATACAGGAGAAACTGGTAACAAAATATGATCATATCTTTTTATCTTCTCAAAGGAACAGTCCTGTTCAAGAGTCCAGCCAGATAGCATGCCATTTCCATCTCCAGAATATCCATTCCATTGTTCTGATCCACAAACTGTTCACATCACTTGTTTCCCATGGTTAACTGAACCATTCTGTATTAAACACCATTGCCTGACATCACACAACATAAACCATACTATCTGGAGTCACACAACCTCAAATAAACCAGCCACATACAGACTGCGGTGCCATTATATTTTGCAGCTATGGAGTACTGTACACACAAACCTCATTAAACTATGGGGTAGTGTTTCTTTTAACACCGTTTTTTCCTAAACCATAGTTTACTGAATAAGCACTAAGCTGTAAACAGTTATACATGAACTACATTGGTTTTGTTCATGCAACAAACTTAAACCAAAACAATTCGTATTACGGTTCAGCATGGTGTATGAATCCAAACACCAAGAACAACTTCAGAAGTTCAAGTACTTTAGCATAGTTTCACTAGCTGAATAGTTTCAAAACAACTTGCACAGCAGAACTTCCTGCTGGATTGAGATCAGAGTTTGGCATGCATTATGCTTTTTCTACTTGGTGACTTGTCTTCAGAAATAATACATATACCCACTTACTTCCCTTTTTCTTTTCTTTTTTTAATTTTAAGGTATTTTAACTCTTGTTAAACATGTTTCAGTGATCCTCTATGCTTTTTGTCAACACACACACACACACACACACACACACACAAATATAAAGTAACTACAATACTTTATAAAACTATGTAATGGATAAGTAATTAGCTTAACATGGAAACTAGCATCATGTAACTAATACTTTGATGTGAGCTTTCTTTCTTTATATTTAACTTTGGATAGAAAGATAAAGAACTTTATGCTTGAAATATTGATGTCCTAAATGGTAATTATTGACAGAATTTTTACTTTTCTTTTTCTATTTTCAATACCTTAAGCTTTTTAAACTAGAATATTAATAACTTTTAATCATTTTATATAAATTTCATTGTATTGAAACAATATGATGTATCAAGACTTATAACAATATAATAAAAGGGAAAATAATGCACATGCATAATCCTTGAGTCTCATGGTATCAATATCTGCATACATGATATATATTTATGTATGACTTGCCAGTGTTCCCATGAATTGTTTAACCTGGTTACTGAATTAACTCATTTCTGGGCGTGCACTGTATATTAATTCATAAACTAATCAAATAGGCTGGGTACATTAAGTAATTTAAGGCACAAAAAACTAGCCAAGATTGACACTAACCAAACTCAGTATGTTGTACTAGTGCGTGTACTATATTTTTAACTGACATGACTAAGAATTTTGTGTGAATATCATCTGTATGTACAGACCAACCTTTCTTTTTGCATTGTAAGAAACTCATGAGAGAAATTATCCCCAATTCCCCCAGTTTGTCCAAAACTGGAGAATAATGTAGGCAGTGATTAGGTTTTACAAGCTGAAATCATATATTGCACTAAGCCATGTTGTTCTTTGTTTGGGTTTGACTTATGGCTTGTGTTGATTCAGCCATTATAGCTTGTAAACTATGGTTTATGTCTCAGTATAATAAGCAGTATAAATAAATCATACATCTTTTTGGAATCACACTTAATGTGGTGTTTTAAATATTAGCTTATGAATGAAAAAGCCCTGTGAAAATTGATTAGTGAAGTTATTGTTTGATCTTTGAAGAAGAGGCCTCAGGAAATAGAAGAAATCCACACAAAATTTTTGCACAATTGGCTTCAGTGAATCTTTCCACTCATTTCCTTGTAATCTTGGGAAGGAATTCAATATTCAACCTCCTTGAATGGTTTAATCCTAAATGCATTAGCAGTCCTTTCTAATACTTTCACTTTAGCAAATCTTTCTGTATGCAAGATCAATATTCCCATTGCCTATATCTGTAGCCAGAGGGGTTGGGCTACCATTATAACTTATAACATTGATTTTCATTGGGGTTAAACTACTGCACTAATAGTGGTTTGTTTGTTTTGAATGAAAGGGATCTTTGTAAACTAAGCCAATTGCATGTTAGTGGTTTTGATATGAAATCAGTAGGATTAAACTGATTTAAACGCTAGCAGACTTTTATAAAGCTGGATTGCCTTGGGCTGCGATTTTACCACTTGGGTTTGGAGTAGCGCTGTTGATGTTAGGAGGGTAGACAATTTGTGTAAAGGGTTTACAGAATGAGGATTTATAGAATAAATGCTTTAGAGAGATCTGATCAATTTGATTGTACACAATCTAGAACAAAATGCTACAGTTTAGTACAAAACGCCACAGTTTAATACAAAAAAGGTAGTGATGGGCTAGCTTTATGCTAGGATTGACGTTGCATTAACATTACTCATAACTGGCAAAAGATCAAGGAAATTAGGCAAGTGAGGCTGAACAAGGGCCAGCCAAAAACCTTTATAGCATGCGCTACTTCCTTACAAATGATGTGTATGCATTTCCTGCTATACTCTGGATTTTTCATGTCCAACTGATAAGCTTGCTTGCTGAAAATAATTGGACTGATATTAAGAATCTTTAAAGTGCCTTAAAATAGCCTTTATTTGTTTTTTTTAAAAAAACGCTCTTGTGGGTATCTTTTCAACATGAAGAGAGCTTATAAGGATATTTTCTCCATAGATCTCCAAAATGCTTAACCTAGCGAAAACTTAGTTGGAGGAAGGGTCTTTCAAGAGACAACCATCTGCCAAGTGATTACTTGGTGCAAATGTAAGCTACTTGGCAAGCTACTTAGCAGCATTATGAGGCCAGGGGACAGGATTTTACCACATTTCCTGGGCTTAGGTTGATCCATGAGTTGTAGACATAACTTTTTGTAATACGAAGGAACTGTTTATGAAAGTTGACCACTGTGTGAATGGCTGTTTTATACAACATGCTTAGCCATGATGTGGC